CACAACTTGTAAGAAAATAGCATGAGCAGTCAGACTCACTTCATCATACTTCCTCCTACATCTCTCCTTCCACAGAGCCCAAAAAATCAACATAGATACTCCCCTTACCAAGTTGTGACTGAGAGAATGGGCTTTAAAACTTCTAATCAATCTCAGAAATCTGCATAAGGGAGAGTCTCCTGGAAAAACATTAAAACCCAGAATTCCATCAACTTTCTTCTAAACAGCTTGAGCCACAGTACACTCAATGAATAGGTGAGAAACATTTTCCCCAGCCATGCCACACATTACACATTTACTGGCCATAGCAACACCCACACATTGAATTCTATCATCAGAGGTCAAGGCTTTTCTAAAAATTTTCCAAGTACATAACTGAGCACAAGGAAAAATTTTCTGCTTCCAAATGCACTTAGCTATATCATTTTGGATTCCCTTTTTCCTAATTTGATTCCAAGCAGATTTAACAGTAAATCCTCCTGAATTAGTATGCCTCCAGATAAGTTTATCAGGTAACTCAGACCTCACAAAAGTCACACTTTCAATCTCAGAACAAATCTGAGGATTAAGCCAATCAGCTACCTCATTAAGCTGTCATTCCCTACCATTCCACAGCTCATTGACTCTGGGAAAAGTCAAGGGAAGATTCATAACTCTAAGAATCAGAGGTCCATTATCCATCCATGAATCACACCAAAAGTTAGTATTCTGGCCATTTCCAACAATCTTCAATGAATTCTGAACTGTGAAGTTAAACCAAGGCCCCAATACTTTAAAAGACTTACCAGCACCAGTATTTCCACATCTGAGCATGTGTTTCCCCTGAAAAAACTTCTCTTTAAAAACTTTGGCCCACAAAGAGGAACCATTTAAGATGCCCCATACCTGTTTAATTCTAAATGTTGTTTGAATTTCATCAAAACTTCTAATCCCCAAACCACCTTCTATTTTGGGTTTTGAGACATCTTTCAATGAAACTCAATGTCTTCTCTTAGAGTTCATCTGACTGGACCAAATAAAATCAGAAATCAGAGAATTCAACTTTCTCAATATACCTTTTGGAATATTCAGACAAGCCAGCATATGAATAGGGATTGAACTGAGTACTGATTGAATCAATACAATCCTCCCCATGCCAGATAACAATCTGGCATACCAACCCTCAATTCTTTTTCTGAAACTTTCCACCATTCCTTCAAAATAGCAGTTCTTTACCCTTCCTCTAATAATGGGACATCCCAAATAAGTAAAAGGACAATCCTTAAAAGGAATTCCCACCCCAACAGCCAAACTATTCCTTCTGGACAAAGAAATCCACTTAGAACAATACACAACACTTTTCAACTTGTTAACCCTCTGACCAGAGTTTGCTTCATACAGGTCAATAAACTTCAGTACATTCAGTACAGAACTTTTGTTACCCCTTAGAAATATCAAAGTATCATCAGCAAATAATAAGTGACTAACAACTGTTGTTCCTCTCCCAATATGAAAATGTTTAACCAAATTCTAGTTATAAATGTTCCTCAGGCCTCTACTCAGCACCTCTTCAGCCAAAATGAACAAGGTAGGAGAGAGAGGATCTCCTTGTCTTAGCCCTCTTGTGTTAGCAAAATAACCATATCTTTGTCCATTTAAACATATGGAAAAGAATTGGGTTTTCAAACAATTCAAAATAATCTGAATAAACAGTTCAGAAAAACCAAAGATAGACAGGACCTTCAACAAGAAATCTCATTCTATCCTGTCATATGCTTTCATCATATCCAGTTTCATGACCATGTTCCCACCCTCAACCTTCCTGTCTAACTCCCCAACAAGCAATTGTCCCAAAGCCACACAATCCCCAATTCCTCTCCCTTGAACAAAACCATGTTGTTCCTTAGAGATTAAAACAAGAAGCAAGGAAGACAGTCTAGTATTTAGAAGCTTTGTAAATATCTTATATAAGAAGTTACATAAGCTGATGGGCCTGAAGTCAGAAAATGAACTAGGATCTGCCTTCTTAGGAATCAACACTAACATAGTAGAATTCACTGATTTGGGCATTAAACCTCCTTTAAGTAAGGAATTTACAGCTCTGCCCACATCTACTTTAATAATATCCCAAGCAATCTGAAAGAACTTACCAGACATTCCATCCGGCCCAGGAGCACTCTCAGCTGCCATTGAAAAAACAACATCTCTCAATTCCTCCAAAGTAGCTTCAGCAGTAAGCCTCTCATTCTCCTCTTCACTTACAAGCTTAGGAATGACATCAAATATGTGTTCATTGATTATATGTCTCTCAGTCTTATAAAGATCAGCATAAAATTCCTCTGCAACTTCTGCCACCTGCTTGTCACCATACACCCACTCCCCTACTTTATTCTTAATTCTTGATACTTTATTTCTGACAACTTTACTTTGAGCAATAGAATGATAAAATCTGGTATTTCTTTCCCCTTGGACAGCCCATCTTACATTTGACTTTTGCTTCCAATAAATTTCCTCTCTCCAAAACCAATCATCCATCTCACCTTTAACAGCTTCTAGCTCCAAAACTTTTGAATCAGAAAAATTCTGATCTACTTCCAGTTCAGCTAAACTTATCTTTTGTTCGAATTCTTTCAATTTATCAAAGAGATTACCAAACACATCTTTATTCCACATCTTCATATGAGCCTTCAAATATTTCATCTTGATGAACACATTTGACATCGGATTATCTGAATATTGTCCACTCCAGTTAGATGCAATCAATCTAGAAAACCCTCATGATCACACCACATATCTTGAAATCTAAAATATGATATTCTCTTCTGCACAGGAGCATCCATAATTTTCAATAATAAAGGACTATGATCAGAGAAGCCCCTTGCCAAATGAACCACTTCCATACTATCAAACTTCAGATTCCAGTAAGCATTAATCAGAGCTCTGTCCAACCTCTGCTTCATTCTGATACCCCTCTTTCTATTGTCACACCAAGTAAATTCATTTCCAACAAAACCAGCATCCAGCAAACCCCTATGATCCAAAAAATCACCAAATTCCTCCATAGATAAGGAGAAGCTCCCCCCAATCTTTCATCAGAGGACAAGATTGAGTTGAAATCACCAATTATCATCCAAGGAATACCAGAAGGAATATCAATGTTCAGCAAATGATCCCATAAAGACCTTCTTATAAAAAGATCACAACTAGCATATACAGTACAGACCCAAAAAACAACTGAATTCATAAAAGATATTTCCACAGTCAATACTTGAACATGTTCATATAAGACCCTCAACTTGATTCTCTTATCCCACAAAATCCAAATGTTTCTTTCTGCTAGAGCATTGGAACAGAAGTGTTCTAGACCAATGCTCCTAGCAAATGGAATCAATTTAGAAACCAGCAATTTAGGCTCTTGAAGTGCAACAAGACATACATCATGTAATTAAATAAGTTTCCTTAATCTCCTTCTCTTGGCATCTTTACCAGCCCCTCTCATATTCCATGATAGGATATTAATCATAAGTTCATAGGAGAAAAGGCCTCACTAGAACTAAGTCCATTACCTTCATCATCTTCATCAATAGACCTCCCAGAATTATCAGAATCAACATTTACAAACCTCTGAGATCGAGAATTGGCCTGATCAGAATAATATCCCTTATCTGGAGGCTCTCTCAACCTAACCAGACCATTCTGATCATCTAATGAGTTTTGACTTCCTTTCCTGACAGCAACATCATGTTCCACTAAGAAAGAGGAACCCATGGATTGAGCATAAAGAGTTCTACATTCTCCCAACACCTCCACATTATCCATGCCATCACTAATACGAGCTCTATCTTCCCCAACATCTACCAGATTCCCTCCAATGTCAACAGATGGCAATAAAGTAGGAGAAGAAAAAGAAATCTCCAAATTAGCACCCTCAGGAGATGGAATCCTAGGTATTTGGTTCCTAGAAGCAGATATTGGGACCTCATTTTCCAATCTAATATCAGGAGTAGCAGATTCATCAACTCCTTGGTTTCCACCTTCCAAAACCACTTGAGGATTATCAAGATTTACAGCATCAACTCTGATAGCATTCCCATTATGAATTTCTCTATTAATTTCCATAGCATTTCCCAAGTCCAGGTCATTAGTTATACCATTTGGATCTGATCCATTAATTTCCTCCACAACAGAGGTAGAACCTCCATTATCAGTAACCCTATCAGGTAGCATTGGCTGATCCAAAATAGGTATATCTTTACCATCATTCAAATCTTCTAAAACATTCTCCTCATTAAGCACAGCAAAACTATTTCCCACAGCAGTAGTTTGGACCATAGTTTTCTGTCTATATTCCTTTCTAGGTTGCACTCTCAGTTCATCTACAACAACAGTTTTTCCTTTCTTCTTCCTCCATTCCTCCTCTTGATTAATTTCATTCCCCATTTCATTCTTCTTCTCAGAAGTATCACCTTTCACTCTCTTCTTTCTTCTACACAATGCTTCTTCATGTCCCTGCTTAAGACAAGCAGGACAATATCTATATTCTTTTTCATACATTATTCTCTGCCAGCGACCACTGACTCCCCCCATATCTAACCAAAATCTCTTAGGATTATTTGCTAAAAGATTCATTTCAACACAGGCCCTGGCCACACCAGGCCTGGAAAGGTTCAGAGTGGCATTATCTATCACCAGAATCCTACCAATTGGACTCAAAATGTCCCTCAGACTCTCTCTATTGAACAGATGGATTGGAAGACCAGTTAAGGACACTCATACAAGTACAACAAGTGGTTTAATCCCAGGATAAAACTTTGGGAACCACTTGAAAAACTTGAACATTTAACCCTCAATGTAGGTAGTATCCTTTAGCCACACTGTGACATAATCCTCATAAAGAGAAAATCTGATCAGTATATGCCTTGGATCTAACACTCCTACAGAAAATTCTCCTTTCAATAACCACCTAGAATTGATAAATTTTTTCACCACCCCCAATGAAGGCTTACCATAGGCACATTTACCTATAAGTGTCTGGTTAAGTTTTTTGAAAGCTCCATAGTCTCAACAGGGGACCAATACATCCCAGGCTCCCCTTTATTAAAAGCAACTCTCTTAGCAGGATTTACAGAATTCAATGATCCAAAGAGGATTGTAGAAGAAGGAACATGAATAACAGAAGGATGCTGAACATTCGATATAGTGACTGGATTCTGAATATCTTTCTCCGAAACAGAGATCTGAGCATTTGGCAAAGTACGGTCCCTCGAAAGACCTTGAGAAATCGAAATAGATTGGGAATTCAATGAGGTATGGGGGATTTGGTTAACTCCTTGTATGTTTCGAATACTTGAAGAGTCGAAAGGAATCTGAATCCCTAACTCAGAAGAAGTGTTTTGGTTATTCGTCGAAGGTGACACAGTCGAAGGAAGAATCTGAACAGTCAGCTTGTTTCGATTCAACTGAGAAATCAGAGGCACAGAAACGGTGTTATTACATCCCAACGGATCAACAAATGTCAAGGAATTTATTTCTGAAGCAACCAGAATCGGTAAAGGATTTTCCACAGTCAAAGGTTTCTTGAATAATGAAGCAAAATTTTTGGTAATGTCTGGAGGTTTTGGGGGGATTTGATGAGGTTCTTGAACAGGATTCATATTAGATTAATCAAAACCAGTAAGAATTCAAGGAATTTGCAAAAAGATGTTGAAAATTCAGTCAAAAACAGAGAAGATCTGGGAAAAAGTAAAAAAATTCTAGAGAGAAGTCAGACCTTCTCTCTCTAGAACGAATTTCTGCCTCTAAATCCCAAACCCTAAACCCTAAACCCAAAAAAACCCCAAACCCCAAACCCCAAACCCCGAAACCCCAAACCCCAAACCCTAAACCCCAAACCCTAAAACCCTAAAACCCTAAACCCTCAAACCTAAATCCTAAACCCTAAAATTCTAAACCCTCAACCCTAAACCCTAAATCCTAAACCCTAAACCCTCAACCCTCAACCCTAAAACCTAAACCCTAAACCCTAAACCCTTTTTTTTTTAAAAAGAAAGATAGAATTTATTCAAGAAAAAACAAAAATTACAAGAAGCAAAGCAGTACTGTTTGATGTAAAAATAGCAACTATAGAACAAATTACAAAGAAAACCATAAAAGGGTAAAAAGGTAATTCTATAAAAGCATTCCCTATATGCAGCTTCCTTCTTCCATAAAAATCTCCTCCCCAAAGACCAGCAATAAGTAAATAGCTTAATTGCATCATCCAGTCCATACTTGAGCTAGGAGAACTAGTTGGTACAGACTGTCAAACCATCCCCTCAGCCTAGGTGAGAAAGCAAGGAAGTAGTCCAGTAATCCCAGCATAAACCAGTCTGATTATCACAGCAACTTAGACTTGAATCAGTAGTAAGGATTGGGCACAAATTAGTAGAAAAGTCTACTTTATATACCCATTTCAAGATTGAAACTATATTTTCAGTTAGATGGCTTTAATCCTTCAATGGAATAAAACCAAAATAACTAAATACCACAACTCAAGCTCCAAAATCTGCTAGACAAACAAATACCCTAAGCAGACTCCACTATAATCAAACATATCAACCAATGTCCTGTTTTTGCTCACAAATTCTTCTTATTAGTCTAGCAGTGGGCAATCCACTTTGATCTTGCTGTAGAATAACCCTCCCAATAAGTGGCAACATAGTACCATCAGAAAACATAGTGCCCTTTTCATTGTGAACATCAAAGAAAGTTAAAAAAGCAGCAAGACCATTAGCTTCCTTGTAAATGTGAAAAATCTGCAAATTCAATATACCAAACAGCATCTGAATCCTTTCCACCAAACTTTGCAATTTCCATGGAACATTAGCCAAACCCATTACCATCTGGACTAAAGCTTGGGAATCAGATTCCACAATAACTTTAAATGATGACAAACGATGCTGAAGGATCAACAATAAACCATCAAACAATGTCATACACTCAGCTACCATATTTGATCCCAACCCATAGTAACAAGCAGCAGCTAAGAGTACTCTTCCTTCATGATTCCTCACCACCACCAGACAAACCAGTTTTTCCTTTGGAGGCACCATCAACATTAAGTTTCAAGACATTTATAGGAGGAACTTCCCATTTAATCCATTTTACATTAGTGATTAAGGAAAAAGGATTTTGAACTTTCAACTCACTCAGTAACTCCTTACCCTTATTATCATCAGCAGCCCCAGGCCTTATAATAAATGCTTGTCATTTCAAAGAACTCAATACTTGTAAGAAAATTGCATGGTCATTTAAAAATACTCCCTCATGCTTCCTCCTACATCTTTCCTTCCACAGAGCCCAAAAAATTAACATAGAAACACCCCTTATCCGATTATGACTAAGAGAAAAAGCTTTAAACCTTCTCAGCAATCTCAAAAATCTGGATTAAGGAGATTCACCTAATAGAATATTAAACCCCATTATCCCAGTCACCTTCTTCCAAACAGCTTGAGCTATGGAACAATCAATGAAAATATGAGCAATACTTTCTCCTTCCATACCACACAATGTACATTTACTAGCCATGGCAACACCCACACTTTGCAGTCTATCATCAGTAATTAAGGCCTTTCTAAAAATCTTCCAGGTACATAGTTGAGCACTAGGAAAAATTTTCTGCTTCCAAATGCCTTTAGCTATATCAATTTGACTTCCTTTCTTCCTTATCTGATACCAAGCAGATTTAACAGTAAAAGAACCTGAATTAGTATTCCTCTATATAAGCTTATCAGAATTCTCAGTCCTCACAAAATTCACACTTTCAATCTCAGCACAAAGTTGAGGGTTAAGCCATTCAGTTACTTCATTAAGCTGCCATTCAAATCCATTCCATAAATCATGAATCCTAGGAAAGATTAAAGAAGGATTCACAATTCTAAGAATCAAAGGACCCTTCTCCAACCATGAATCACACCAAAAATCAGTGTTAAATCCATTTCCAACAATCATCAATGAATTCTTAACAGTAAAATTGAACCATGGTCTCAACACATTAAAAGACTGACTAGCACCAGAATTCCCACATCTTAGAATATGCTTCCCTTGACAAAACTTTTCTTTAAACACTTTGGCCCACAAAGAAGTACCATTTAAAATACCCAAAACCTGTTTTATTCTAAATGCTGTTTGAATTTCCTCAAAACTTCTAATCCCCAACCCACCTCTTTTTTGGGTTTGGAAATGTCTTTCAATGAAACCCAATGCCTTTTTTTTTAATCCAGCTGACTAGACCAAAAAAAATTGGCAATCAAGGAATTCAACTTACTCAAAATACCTTTTGGGATATTCATACAAGCCAACATGTGAATAGGAATAGAATTGAGTACTAATTGAACCAATATAATCCTCCCTATACCTGATAACAATCTGGTATACCAACCCTCAATTCTTTTCCTAATACTTTTCACCACTTCTTCAAAATAACATTTCTTGACCCTTCCTCTAATAATAGGACATCCCAGATAAGTAAAAAGACAATCCTTAAATGGAATTCCCACCACAGAAGCCAGTTTGTTCCTTCTAGACAGAGAAATCAGCTTAGAGCAATACACTACACTTTTCAGTTTGTTAACCTTCTGACCAGAACTTGATTCATACAAAGCAATAAATTACAGTACATTCAGCACAGCGCTTTTGTTACCCCTCAGAAAAATCAAAGTATCATCAGCAAACAACAAATGACTGACAACTGTTGTTCCTCTTCCAATATGAAAGTGTTTAACCAAATTCTGATTATAAATGCTCCTCGGCCCTCTACTCAGCACTTCCTCAGCCAAAATAAACAATGTGGGAGAAAGAGGATCTCCCTGTCTTAAACCCCTTGAGTTAGCAAAATAACCATATCTTTGAGCATTTAAACATATAGTAAAGAATTGACTACTCATACAGTTCAGAATAATTTGATTGAACAAATCAGAGAAACCAAAACTAGCCAAGACCTTTAACAAAAAATTCCATTCAATCCTGTCATATGCTTTCGTCATATCCAGTTTCATGACCATGTTCCCTCCCTCAACCTTCCTGTCTAACTCACCAACAAGCAATTGTCCCAAGGCCATATAATCTCCAATTCCTCTCCCTTTAACAAAGCCATGTTGTTCCTTAGAGATTAAACCAGGAAGCAAAGAAGACAGTCTGGTATTCAGAAGTTTTGTAAAAAACTTATATAAGAAATTACATAAGCTTATGGGTCTAAAATCAGAGAATGAACTAGGGTCCTCCTTCTTAGGAATCAGTACTAACAATGTAGAATTCACAGACTTAGGCATTAAACCTCCAGCCAGTAAGAAATTAATAGCTCTGCACACATCTACTTTAATAATATCCCAGGCAAACTGATAAAACATACCAGACATACCATCCGGCCCTGGAGCACTCTCAGTTGCCATTGAAAATACAGTATCTTTTAACTCATCCAAAGTAGCTGCAGTAGTAAGCTTCTCATTATCCTCTTGACTGATAAGCTTAGGAATGACATCCAAAATGTGACCATTAATGATATGTTCCTCAATTCTATAAAGTTCAGCATAAAATTCCTCAGCAACCTCAGCCACCTGCTTGTCACCATACACCCAGACCCCATTTTTATTCTTAATCCTTTAAATTTTATTCCTGACAACCCTACTTCTTGCAATAGAATGATAAAATTTGGTATTTCTCTCCCCCTGACAACCCATTTTATATTGGACTTTTGCTTCCAATAAATTTCTTCTCTACTTAGCCAATCATCCATCTCACCTTTAACAACTTCGAATTCCATAGCTTTTGAATCAGAAAAATTCTGGTCCAACTCCTGTTCAACCACACTTATCTTGTTTTCAAACTCTTTCAATTTTTCAAAAAGATTACCAAACACCTCTTTATTCCACCTCCTCATATGAGCCTTAAAAAATTTCATCTTGATAAACAAATTGGACATTGGGTTATCTGAGTAATTCCCACTCCAGTTAGATGCAATCAGAGAAAGAAAATCCTCATGATCACACCACATATCTTGAAATCTGAAATAAGATACTCTCTTCTGTATAGGAATATCCAAAATTTTCAGCAATAATGGACTATGATCAAAAGAACCCTTTGCCAAATGAACCACTTCCATACTGTCAAACTTTAGATTCCAGTCAGCATTAAGGAGAGCTCTATCCAACCTTTGCTTCATTCTGATACCTTCATTTCTATTGTCACACCAAGTAAATTTATTTCCAACAAAACCAGCATCTAGCACCCCCCTCTGATCCAAAAAATCACCAAACTCCTCCATAGATAGCATAGAAGGAGAAGCTCCTCCCAATCTTTCATCAGAAGACAAGATTGTGTTAAAATCACCAACTATCATCCAAGGAACATCATAAGGAATATCAATATTTAGCAAATGGTCCCATAAAGACCTTCTTATAAAAATATCACAACTAGCATATACAATAGAAACCTAGAATACAACTGAATTCATAAACTTTATCTCCACAGTCAAAACTTGAGCATGTTCAAATAAGACCTTCAATTTGATTCTCTCATCCCATAAAATCCAAATATTTCTTTCTGCTAGAGCATTGGAACAGAAGTTTTCTAATCCAATAATCCTAGCAAAAGGAATCAATTTAGAAACCAACAATTTAGGCTCTTGAAGTGCAACTAGAGATACATCATACAATTTAATAAGCTTTTTTAATCTCCTCCTCTTGTCATCTTTACCTGCCCCTCTCATATTCCATGATAAGAAATTAATCATGAGTTCATAGAAAAAAGAGCATCACTGGAACTAAGTCCATTACCATCATCCTCCTCCTCAAAGGAACTTCCAGAATGATCAGAATCATCATTTACAATCCTTTGAGTTTTAGAACTGGCCCGATCAGAATAGTAACCCTTATCTGGTGGTTCTCTTACCCTAACCAGACCAGTCTGATCATCTAAGGATCTTTGACTTCCTTTCTTAACAACAAAATCATTTTCCACTAAAAAGGAGGAACCCAAAGATTGAGCATATAGAATTTTACATTCTCCCAATAACTCCACATTATCATGGTTCACTATAATATCTTCATTAACACCATCAATATCAGGAACAAGATTCTCCACATCATTTAATAAATCTCCTCCAACATTTCCATCATTGATCCCCTCATTAATTACAAGTGGTAGCAACATAGGGGAAGAAAAGGAAAATACCTCCAAAGTAGAACTAGATACAGGAATTCCTCCTGTACTGTTCTCTTTTTGAAGCCCCTCCAATCTGACCTCAGTACTATCAGATTTATCAATTTCTTGATTGCCAAAATTAGAAATCATCTAAGGAGTACTCAGACTTCCAACCTCAATTCTAGCATCATCCTTTTTCTGAATATTTCCATTCACCTCCATAACTTTATTCAAACCAGATGCATTAGTAACATCATGTGTTTCAGTAGATC